GTTCAGAGGGCAAAGCAGTGCAGCAAACTCACGTCTTTCCTGCCAGTGTTTCCCTGCATCCTTCTCAGAAGCACTGCAGAGAGAACCTTTTGGGAAAACTTCAATAGTCTGTCCTCTCTTCCCGCTGTACTAATATCAGGGTTCTCCCAGATTCAGGCTCAATAGCCCCATCATGAGCACTGGGAAAGTTACAAATGACTGTTGAGGGTCGGGTATGGCAGGGTGGTCGTATGTCATGTGTCCCCAAGCCACATGGATAGAAGTAGTGAAGCAGGGGAGAGAGAACCCAAGCATTGCTAGAGTCCTACAGAATCCTAGTCCTGTGAGGGTGGACCTTTAGGTCATCACTCAATGCTGAGAGGACCCTTGGCTGTCTATCTGCATCACAGTGCAGGGCCTTGGCTGTTCTGTCCCAGAGGTGGTGATGACTTTCTAACCTGCATTTAGGAAGCTGTAGAAGCCTAGTTCCCATCCAGGGCAGTGGAGTATAGGGTAGATCTTCATGATCTACTGCATAGCTTATGGCTCATTCTGGAAGCCCCTACTCTTCTATTCCAGCCTCTGCTAGGTTTGTGAAAATGCTGTCTGTCCTCCCTGTGATCTTGGTGAACTACTGGGCACTTTGTGTCTCCCTGTCCTTCTATTCACAGGTGTCCATCCCACACCTAGCTTGGGTGAATCGCCACAACTAGAATTGGAGCGTCCCTGTTCTCCTGGTCACTTTTGGAGTCAGGCTCTTTTTGTTAGCACTAGGGAACCCAGAGGACACCTACTACTCACCTTATAAGAGTTTTCCTACATATGTTACTATCCATGTGATTATCCTTGGTCTTTGCCTATTCAAGGCTGATGAAGTCTGCCTATGATTTGTTGTGTGAACACACCACTGGGCATATAGAACCCCACTGTTGAATGCTGTCGAACATGGAGGGCTGGAGGCTTCACCATGGTACTGACTACTAGCCTGCAGGGTGGCACCTCATGGTCCCATGTTATGTCTCCTGTGTCTTTGTGTCTCTGTCCGTTCGTGCTGACTTCTTTGTATATTTCAGTTCCTCCATGTTCTTTCTGTTTTCAACATTGCTTATCTCTCAGAGACATGTCTATCTGTGTAACCCTCGCTGCTGGCCTTCAAGTACTAAATTCTCCTGTCTCAGCCCCACAGTACCAGGATTGCAACTTTGAGCCACAGTGCCCAGCTACCTCTGGTTTTCTTTATTCTCCTTATTATAAAGGGTCCTGCAGGTCACTCACTGCACAAAGCTGTGGTTGCTACAGTGCGACTCCAACAGCGCCACCTGTAGCCACAGTGTGCTGACTCTTGCTGCTCTGGTCTCTAGAGCCAGTCTGTTTATCCTCTCCTTCACTAGCTTCTTCTACCTGCTCATTGATGGCCAGGGACATTGTCCCCTTTAGAAGACCCTTCCTGGTTTATTCTGAACATAATTAGAAACATGCATACACACACAGACACACAGGCACACACATGCACACACACACACACAAAGGTAGACATACACAGAGATATAACCAAACTTCCTTAGAAACTTCCCATGATACAAACATATGGAGAGACACATGCCTGAACACAGAAACACGTGTGTAATCTGTGAAGGAAGCCATGGACACAGAGTACCGATTGGGATATTACTATATCTGTTTTTCTCTTCTGACAAGGAAAATGAAACCTCAGTGTTAGACTTTGTCTTTAGGGAGCCCACACAGCAGGGGTGTAAGAGCTTTCTGTTCAGGACTTGGTGGACTTGACCTTGGTTGTTCCTGGTTGATCAATGCATAAGAGTCAGCACTATTGCTCCCCAGTTAGGTTTTCCCCGGGATTCCTGTGGGTGAAACACACAATCTGAATTTGCTTTATTCCCTTACAGCTTCTCAATCAAGCTCTCCAACACCTGGTAAGTACTTTGAAAAGATGGACTGTATCAGTTTAGAGTTTCCCTATGTCATAATAAACACAGCCTCACTAAATGTTCTCTAACGAGACAAGGAAGCATTAAATAATCTGTGCGTGATCTGGACATGTAATGACAACAGAAGCTTCTGCCAGCTGGAGCATAAAGCGTCTGGTGGTAACACAGGTGCAGTCTCCAATCTGATGTTGTTCCTGCCTCAGATTTCAGTGTGTGTCAGAATCTAATAGATTATCTGATTGCCTGGCCTGGGATTCACATCCTTCCCTCAAGGGATTCTGACTTGGAGACCCAGAGTGGCTCAGGGGTCTGTGCTTTGTAGCCCTCCACACTTAGGGGAAACTCATGCCTGGCCCAACGTTAATAAGGTCTTAATTTTAGCACCATTATAGGGCCATTTGTTTGTTAAGACTTCACAAAGCAAGAACAGCCTATGTATAGTTTTCATCTATTTAGTTTCTTTGAGGCCCATTTAGCTCATAGTAGTCTCTTACTTGCAAGGCTACCTACCCTTGGACTCCTGAACCTACACCTCAGTTCCATAATGCTGGGATTCCAGGAGTTTGTCTTTTTGCCCAGCTCTTGTTTATTATACCCGAAATGATAAATACCCAACCTTCAGCTTACCTGGTTTTATTTCCATTTTGCAAAAATAAATCATTTTGATCAAGACCTTGGGCATTGGACATAGCCAAGCTTGAAACTACAGATTCCCCCACCCCAACAGGAGTGTAAAATGCAGTTGAGGTTAGTTTTGTATCCTTTATGAGTCCATATTTAAACAGTGCATTCTTTTCTAATCTGAGTTTGGTCTTTCTTTAGATTATCCATACCAAGATCCAACAATAAATGGTAAGGCCTTTTCTTTGCTCTTAGTCTCTGTCTTATTCTTCTGGTTGAGTTGAGGTCCTGTTTGCCTTCTGTTGCTGTGGTAAAACCCTGGTCATAAGCAACTTGGAGAAAGAAGGTTTTGTTTGGCTTACAGGTTAGAGTTCATTATCTAGTGTAGACAAGGCGGGAGCCCAAGGCAGAAACTGATGTAGAGGCAATGGAGGAGCCCTGGTTGCTGGATTCCTAGGTCATGCGTAGCTAACAATATTATACAGCCCAGGCTCACCTGCCCAGGTCAGTGTGCTAACATTCCCCATCAATTATCCAACAAGAGAAATTTCCACAGACATGGCCTTCTGCAAGTGTGATTTAGATAAACCCAGCAGTTGAGACTCCTTCAAGTGACTCAGCTGTGGCAGGGTGACAGTGGAGCCAGCTAGGACAGGAGGTCAGCCCTGCTGCTGGTCCTCTGCTGTCTGGTGGGATCCAAGTGCAGCTTTGGGTAAAGAATCAGGGATGGAGTGGAGATGAGAGGCATGGGTGTCAAGCTGCTGGGCAAACTCCACCAATCCCTGTCCTTCACCTTCCTTCTCCTCTCTGCCCTTCAGTCAGTTGATGGATGAAATTAGCTTGAGCCTAGTGTCAGAAAAGCTAGCTGGAAACACTCACCGGTTCTTTCTTTGTGCAATATGGGCCGTTCTTGCAAAGGTAAATAGCACCATGAAAACTAGATAACTTGATATACACCCCAACTTTAATAGTTTTCATGTATGAAATAAATACATTGAAAGGTAAAGAGGAAACTGGACAGTGGGTACAGTCATTTATAGCATGCACTGTATGTATGTTCAGTTTTTTCTTCTTTGTCTTTTGTGAGGGAGTTTCAAGACAGGGTTTCTCTGTTGCTTTGGAGCCTGTCCTGGAACTAGCTCTTGTAGACCGGGCTGGTCTCGAACTCACAGATATCACCTGCCTCTGCCTCCTGAGTTCTGGGATTAAATGCGTGTGCCACCACCGCCCGGCTCTTCTTTGTCTTTTTGAGACGGGGTTTTTCTGTGTAACTACAGATGTCCTGAAATTTGTATTTGTTCTATAGACCAGGCTGGCATTGAATGCACAGAGATTCTCCAGTCTCTGCCTCCCAAGTTCTGAGATTTAAGGCCACTGCTCAGATTAGATTTAAAAACCCAGTTTAGGCAGCTTATAACCACCTATAACTCCATCACGAGTGGCTCTGACACCATTCTCAGAGACCTATACTGATGTGCACACATCCACACATGGACACTTGCCCGTGCACATAATTAAAAATAAAACAAATCTTTCACAATTATAAATACTGCACATAAACTATGCTCAACTAATACAGGTAATATGTGCTATTATCATGAAACCTTAATATTTTGATGTATGTATCATTAATCCCATTTTGCAAATTGGAAAATTAAGACATGGTTAGATAATTTGTCAATATTTGCCAGTCTAAGATTCTGTGGTTGAAAATGGAAAGTTGTGTAGTGGTGTTTCATTTGGATTTTAATAAACAAAGTTTTCCTGAAGACCAGAGAGCAAAGCAGCCACACTGGCCATCCCTACAGACCAGGCAGTGGTGACACACACCTTTAATCTCAGTAACCTCCCTAGGTTGCCACAGAAACTGGGCAGTAGTGGTGCACACCCTTAATCATAGAACTAGAGAGGATGAGAGGAGATGGCTCTCAGTTCAGTCTCATTCCGAGGTTTTCCTGGAGGCAGAATCACGTTTTCAGACTGAGGGCAGTAATTGATGTGGCCACTTCTAATATGTTGGGCCCATGGATGTGTGTCCATTCCACCTTGACTGGTGGTCAGAGAGTTTGAGCTTGTTTTGCTCTTCCAAAGTTCTTGTCAACAGGTGCCTACAAAACAAAGAAGTCCTTACCTAGGGTGTGGTCAGTTAGTATTTTGAGTATAGATGTGTATTCGCTCCATCTGGACCAAAGGCCAGAGATGCTGCGTCTATTCCTCATATTTGCAAAGCAAATCAAAGCAAAGAGTAGCCAATATTGGGTATAAATGACAAGCAATAAACACTCCACCATAGGGATAACAAATTCTCCCAGATTCCACCAAGCAAATCCCAAAACAAGGTTTCTCATTGATTATATGATGCTAATACCCATTTAAATATCAAGGCATTCCTCAATGTACCAAGAAGTCACCCAGGAAACCAGTCCATTGTGTGTCCCCAAGAGGATTTGCTAGTTTAACCATCAATAGGCAGCTGTTCTGTGGCCCCAGGACTGTGTACATGTCACGACAAGCATAGTGTGGCTATGGTGATCCAGACCCCACCTGAGAATAGTGTTGAAGAAGCAGGCTCCTCCAAGCAGCCACTTTGTGAGCAGGTTTCCTCTGCCATTCTGCAATAATCTCTGGAAGTCCCCTCTCTTTTTTGGTTGGGGCCACTTTCTCAGGAATATTTTAGTGATGGCAAATGTTTATAATGAGATGTTGTATTTGAACTACAGAAATAGCCAGATAACTTTTTGAATTCAGATTTCATCTGACTGTTTTCTATCTTGTGCTTTGGGTGGGGCTGCTAGTGACCTGGGTGGTATTTGGGATGGAGTAGAAGCAGAGGAGTTGAATGAGGGTGAAGGACAAAAGATGTTCATGGTGACATGTCAGCGGCAATGTAACAGAAAGGTCAGTATCAGATTTAGCAAGGAGAAATGGCAGTGTATCAGTGTGAGAAGGCCTTCAGCATGGGAGATGTCAACTGCAGCTTCTGAGATTCAAGTGAAGACCAACATCCAGTGACTTCTTTCTTTCTCATTCTGCAGATGATATCTATGAGACTACAAGCGTGCCCACAGAAGGTGAAATGTTTTATATGGTATCTTTGTGGTCTTATTGTCCCTAGAACATACAGGCTCACCTCTGATCCAGTATTTGGGCAGGAGGCAGAGGAAGAGAGTCTTAAGCTCCCTGAGGAAATTTCTGGACAACGTTTCAAGTTTACAAGGCATTTATGCCATGGATTAAATCCATCAAGGGTGTGGGGATCTTTCTGAAGAGTTTTCTGCAAGAAGCTCCAAAGTGTTCTGGTTTCTTGGGGTCTCTTGATGACCCTCAGAGCTCTGAGGCACCCATGTTCCACCACGTACATTGGTCTGACTAGGATGCTGAGTTTGTCCTTGGTACCTGGAGAAAAAGACAAAGTCAGCTTAACCTCCCCCCTTGTCATATCCTTCCCTCTGGGCCATAGGAAGCTTCCCGGGTAGTCCTGATGCTCCACCCTTGACATCACAGATGCTGTTTTCCTCTCTGACGTCCTCCAGTGAGAGATGTTGGTGGCCCATCAGAACAGTTTAGAGCCTGTCAGCCTGGGCTTTGGGAAGGAAAATCACTTCCTTTCCTACAGGTGGTTTTTTGATTCTAGGTCATCAGCAAGAACAGTCTCCATTTACACGAAGGCCTCTGGCCAGCCCAAAATTCCTTGGGAATCTAAATGGTGCACAGATCAGCCATTGTTCTTCCTTAGGCATGTTGGATATCCCAAGGATGAGACTTGCTTTATTCTAATTTAGCCATATTTCCCCTCAAGATTCTCCCTTTTCTTATTTGTAACATGTATACAAGGAGAATCCATTTTCTCCTCTGTGTTGGTGCTCCTACAGGACATTCTTAGGTATCAGATACTCTTTGATGCTTGATAGGCTCTATGATGCAACTGTATCAGTCAGATTGAAGGGCAAGGGAGGACTGGACAAGTCTCTGACAAAGTTCTGCAGGAGATAGCTTTTCTAGAGCTGTTTGTATCAGGACCTACTGTGTGGGAAGAGGTCAACTTCCTTCATTTCCAGTGACTCGATAGAGGCTGGGTGTTTGACATCAATAGATTCATCTCCAGAAATCTCTTCTGTAAGCAGCAGGACCAAGTTCTAGAGCCAGGGCACATTATGAACAATTTACACATGTGTTTTTAAACTAGTATATTATTCAAAAGTGGCATTAAAAACATTTCCACTAAAGTAAACAGCAGTGAGCTAGGCATGGTTATACACATACACACACACACAGAGACACACACACACTCACAAACACACAATTCAAGCACTCAGGAGTCTGAATAAGGAGGATGTTGCCTTTCAGAAAGCCTAGGGTACATGCAGAGACACTGAATTAAAAAAATACATTTATATACAAAAAATTCAAACAGGCATTCCAACACTTGCTAGTTTCTATTATATTGGACATATCAGTCAATGCAATTAGATAAGAACAATTAGTTTTTTAAGTGTGTGAAACATTTTTGTATTGATTCCACAGATTCAACACAAGCCAAATGTAGGCATTAGAGTTAGGGTCTGTAGGTTAACGCCATTTTCTACAAACATAGCCTTTTAGATTGGAGAACTCAACACTATCCAGATTTCTCCCCCATCTCGAGTACATAGCATCGCACAGTAGAGAGCCTGAATCACACCCATCAGCAGTTTTAACTGTACTTGCATGCCTGACCTTTTCTCAATGGAGACTTAACTTCATGTTTCTTTCTCATCCATATATGAACGTGTAGAGATCACCACTCCAGAGCCGACTACCACTGCAGTGCCGCCCAGCACTCTACCAATAGGTAACTAAAGTTGTATAAATCTCTCTCTGGTGTAGGTTGTAATGTCAGTGTCAGCCATGACTTTCTTGACACACTTAAAGAGATGTGTGTGTGTGTGTGTGTGTAGTATTAGAGAAGCTAGGATAAGGTCCTGATTGTTGGAGCTTTCCTCTATTGTGACCATTTGTCTCTGTGTGGAGGAGTCAGTCAGCAATGGAGTGGGTTCTCCATGGTCTCTAAATTTAATGTTATGTCAGAAGAAACTCTGGGTTAGAGGATCAAGATAAGACAAGCTTCCAGAGAGGTTTCCATGGCAAAAGGAGACCTTGATATCTTGTGGGATCCAATCTGTGTCCCTTCAAAGGGTCCCGTTAGTTCCTCCTTTCCTTCTTCTCTTGCTTCTTTATACTCTAAATTTTTCCATGCCTTTAATTTTCTCTGCCTGCCTGCCGCACTGATCCTTTCCTGCCAAGTTATTGGCCATTCAGCTATTTATTAATCTAATCATGTGTTTTGAAGAGGCGCTGTAACATAGCAAAACCCATGAGGACCTTTGTCTTGTCTAAACATGTTGGGTACTTAAAGCTTGACTTTAGTGGTAAGTTCACATCAGTTGTCTTGGAGACCAGTAGTGACAGAATTCAGGGCTCTCTAGTGTGCTGTTATCGAAATCAGAAGGTGAGCTCATGGGCAGTCTCCTGACCTAGCTCAGTGGGGTGAACAATAGCTTCTATTCATGCTTAATACTGTTTTATTGGGCCTGAAAAAACAGTTCTGATAACACATCTCATCCTTGTCTGGGTAAGCAGCCGGTGAGAGCCTTTGCCAAAGATCCATGAACTTGTCTTCTGCCAGGGAGCTCATCAATTTGTCTCTTCGGTCAGTCATAGAGCAGTGTGGGTCAGGGTGTGCTGAATGTACCCGTGTGCAGTCTGTGCATTAGGAGTTGTGAGGCTATGATTTTTCTATGTCCATGAAAGACCCCACATTTAACAGTATATGTTGGTATCCTGAAGAGTGTATGGCACTCAAAGGCCTTAGTTACAAGAGGCAGCATGTGTCTGCCCATCATCCAGGATCGATTCAACCCATGTCAACCCTGCCCACACATAGCCCTTCTCGTGACAGACAGACCTTTCCTGTCTAGAACAGAAGCAATGAGCCTTCATTGTGGGAGCAAGGGCAAGTGACATGGGTAAGGTCTTTCCATGACAGGGTGCCCAAAAAAGCAACAGTGGAGGGAATCACGCGCTGTATTGACTTAAAACCCATGAAAGAGCTGTCCAGGAATGCACATGCGCCGTTATCCTTACAGGTACAATTAAGGAGAATCACCCTTGTCTTTCCAGGAACAGAAATTGATTTGTTTGTGAGGCTGGTGAATGGATCAGACAGTTGTCAGGGTCGCGTGGAGATCTTGTACCAGGGTTATTGGGGCACCGTGTGTGATGACAGCTGGGACACCAATGATGCCAATGTGGTGTGCAGACAGCTGGGCTGTGGTTGGGCTGTGTCTGCCCCCGGATATGCCTGGTTTGGACAGGGCACAGGGCCCATTGTCCTGGATGACGTGGACTGCAGAGGGTATGAGTACTCTCTGGCAAGCTGCTCCCACCGAGGCTGGCTCTCCCAAAACTGTGGACACCACGAGGACGCTGGAGTCATCTGCTCAGGTATGACCAGAGATCCTTAGTTCTCACAGCCATTCGTGGGATATGGTTAGGTCCCTTTTAACAACCCCAGAACTCCATTCCAGCCATGTGCATCTCAGCCCTCTAAGACAGGTGAATACCGAGGTCACTGCTCTTCTTAGCTGCTGGTGGTGTTTTTATTCTTTTTCTCTTTTGGCTCCTTGCTCTTTCGGAAGCCTCCCACCCAGCTCTCAAATAAATCAAACACAGTGGCTTATTTTTCCTTATAAATGCTTATACTTAGCTTGGCTTTCTGAGCCAGCTTTTCCTAATCCCAATTATCCCATCTGTCTTTTTCTTCTGGGCTTTTCCTTTCTCTGTTTCTGTAGACCTTTCTTTATTTCTCGTTCTGTAGTTTGCTGTGTAGTTGGGTGTCTGCTGCCTACATCCTTTTTTCCTTCCCTTGCATCTTTATCCTCTCAATTTTTCTATCTGTTTAATTCTCTCTGCCTGCCTTCCCCACTGATCCTTTTCTGCCAAGTATTGGCCATTCAGCTCTTTATTAGACCAATCATGTGTTTTGGAGAGGTAATGGAACATAGCTTCACAGAAGTAAACAAATGTAACGTAAAAGAAGACAACACATCTGCCCATCATCGAAGCAAATTTTCCACACCACAAACAAATGAAACTCATCTCAACATAATATTCTACAGCATTGAGTCAGGGCCTTCACAGTCCTCTCAGTTATCCAGGGCTCCAGCATTCACGTGAGACAGATAGTTCATGGAAGAGCAGCATCAGGCCCCAGACTTGAGAAAGCAGCAGGGTCAGCAGGCACACCCTCCTGCAAGGTGTAACCTAGTCCTGGTTTGCAGAGATGTAACCAGTTTCTGTAAGACTTGCAGGGTTCAGAGGGCAAAGCAGTGCAGCAAACTCACGTCTTTCCTGCCAGTGTTTCCCCGCATCCTTCTCAGAAGCACTGCAGAGAGAACCTTTTGGGAAAACTTCAATAGTCTGTCCTCTCTTCCCGCTGTACTAATATCAGGGTTCTCCCAGATTCAGGCACAAAAGTCTAATCATGAGCACAGGGGAAGTTACAAATGACTGTTGAGGGTCGGGTGTGGCAGGGTGGTCGTATGTCATGTGTCCCCAAGCCACATGGAAAGAAGTAGTGAAGCAGGGGAGAGAGACCCCGAGCATTGCTAGAGTCCTACAGAATCCTAGTCCTGTGAGGATGGACCTTTAGGTCATCACTCAATGCTGAGAGTACCCTTGGCTGTCTATCTGCATCACAGGGAAGGGCCTTGGCTGTTCTGTTCCAGAGGTGGTGATGACTTTCTTACTTGCATTTAGGAAGCTGTAGAAGCCCAGGTCCCATCTGGGGGCATTGGAGTATAGGGTAGATCTCCATGAACTACTGCATAGCTCATGGCTCCTTCTGGAAGCCCCTGCCCTTCCATTCCAGCCTCTGCTAGGTTTGTGAAAATGCTGTCTGTCCTCCCTGTGGTCTTGGTGAACTACTGGGCACTTTGTGTCTCCCTGTCCTTCTATTCACAGGTGTCCATCCCACACCTAGCTTGGGTGAATTGCCACAACTAGAATTGGAGCGTCCCTGTTCTCCTGGTCACTTTTGGAGTCAGGCTCTTTCTGTTAGCTCTAGGGCACCCAGAGGACACCTACTACTCACCTTCTCAGAGTTTTCCTACATATGTTCCCTTTGTGATTATCCTTGGTCTCTGCCTATTCAAGGCTGATGAAGTCTGCCTATGAATTGTTTTGTGAACACACTACTGGGCATATAGAACCCCACTGTTGAATGCTATGAAACATGGAGGGCTGGAGGCTTCACCATGGTACTGACTACTAGCCTGCAGGGTGGCACCTCATGGTCCCATGTTATGTCTCCTGTGTCTTTGTGTCTCTGTCCGTTCGTGCTGACTTCTTTGTATATTTCAGTTCCTCCATGTTCTTTCTGTTTTCAACATTGCTTATCTCTCAGAGACATGTCTATCTGTGTAACCCTCGCTGCTGGCCTTCAAGTACTAAATTCTCCAGCCTCAGCCCCACAGTACCAGGATTGCAACTTTGAGCCACAGTGCCCAGCTCACCTCTGGTTTTCTTTATTCTCCTTATTACAAAGGGTCCTGCAGGTCACTCACTGCACAAAGCTGTGGTTGCTACAGTGCAACTCCAACAGCGCCACCTGTACCCACAGTGTGCTGACTCTTGCTGCTCTGGTCTCTAGAGCCAGTCTGTTTATCCTCTCCTTCACTAGCTTCTTCTATTTGCTCATTGATATTGATAGCCAGGGACATTGTCCCCTTTAGAAGACCCTTCCTGGTTTATACTCATCATACTTAAAAACATGCAAACACAGACACAGACACACAGACACACAGACACACACACAAAGGTAGACATACACAGAGATATAACCAAACATCCTTAGAAACTTCCAATGATACAAACATACAGAGAGACACATGCCTGAACACAGAAACACATGTGTAATCTGTGAAGGAAGCCATGGACACAGAGTGCTGATTAGGATATTACTAAATCTGTTTTTCTCTTCTGACAAGGAAAATGAAACCTCAGTGTTTGAATTTGTCTTTAGGGAGCCCACACAGCAGGGGTGTAAGGGCTTTCTGTTCAGGACTTGGTGGACTTGACCTTGGTTGTTCCTGGTTGATCAATGCATAAGAGTCAGCACTATTGCTCCCCAGTTAGGTTTTCCCCGGGATTCCTGTGGGTGAAACACACAATCTGAATTTGCTTTATTCCCTTACAGCTTCTCAATCAAGCTCTCCAACACCTGGTAAGTACTTTGAAAAGATGGACTGTATCAGTTTAGAGTTTCCCTATGTCATAATAAACACAGCCTCACTAAATGTTCTCTAACGAGACAAGGAAGCATTAAATAATCCGTGTGTGATCTGGACATGTAATGACAACAGAAGCTTCTGCTAGCTGGAGCATAAAGGGTCAGGTGGTCACACAGGTGCAGTCTACAATCTGATGGTGCCCCTGCCTCAGATTTCAGTGTGTGTCAGAATCAAATAGATTATCTGATTGCATGGCCTGGGATTCACATCCTTCCCTCAAGGGATTCTGACTTGGAGACCCAGAGTGGCTCAGGGGTCTGTGGTTTGTCGTCTTCCACACTTAGGGGAAACTCCTGCCTGGCCCAACGTTAATAAGATGTTAATTTTAGCACCATTATAGGGCCATTGTTTGTTAAGACTTCACAAATCAAGAAGAATCTATTTATATTTTTCATTTATTTAGTTTATTAAAGCCCATTTAGCTCATACTTTCTGTGTAGGCAAGGCAAGGCTACCTACCCTTGGACTACTGATCCTATACCTCAGTACCATAGTTCTGGGATTCCAGGAGTTAGTCGTCCTGCCCAGCTCTTGTTTATTATACCTGAAATGACCAAACCTTCAGCCCACCTCGTTTTATTTCCTTTTGGCAAGAAAAAAATCATTTTGATCAAGACCTTGTGCAGTAGACATAGCCAGGCCTGAAATTACAGATTTTCCCACCCTCAGCTGGAGTGCACAGTGCAGTTAAAGTTAATTTTGTATCCTTTATGAGTCCATTTCTAACCAGTGGATCCTTTTCTAATCTGCTTTTGGTCTTTCTTTAGATTATCCATACCAAGATCCAACAATGAAAGGTAAGGCCTTTTCTTTGCTCTTAGTCTCTAGCTTTAGTCTTCTGGTTGAGTTGGGGTCCACTTTGCTTTCTGTTGCTGTGATAAAACACTGGCCATAAGCAACTTGGAGAAAAAAAGGGTTTGTTTGGCTTACAAGTTAGAGCTCATCATCTAGTGTAGACAAGGTGGGAGCCCAAGGCAGAAACTGATGTAGAGGCGATGGAGGAGCTCTGCTTGCTGGATTCCTAGGTCATGTGTAGCTAACAATATTATACAGTCCAGGCTCACCTGCCCAGGTCAGTGTGCTGACATCCCCCATCAATTATCCAACAAGAGAAATTCCCACAGGCATGGCCTTCTGCAAGTGTGATTTAGATAAACCCAGCAGTTGAGACTCCTTCAAGTGACTCAGCTGTGGCAGGGTGACAGTGGAGCCAGCTAGGACAGGAGGTCAGCCCTGCTGCTGGTCCTCTGCTGTCTGGTGGGATCCAGGTGCAGCTTTGGGTATAGAATCAGGGATGGCGTGGAGATGAGAGGCGTGGGTGTCAGGCTGCTGGGCAAACTCCTCCAATCCCTGTCCTTCACCTTCCTTCTCCTCTCTGCCCTTCAGTCAGTTGATGGGTGAAATTAGCTTGAGCCTAGTTTCAGAAAAGCTAGCTGGAAACACTCACCGGTTCTTTCTTTGTGCAATATGGGCCGTTCTTGCAAAGGTAAATAGCACCCTGAAAGCTAGATAACTTGATATATACCCCAACCCTAATAGTTTTCATGTATGAAATAAATACATTGAAACATAAAGAGGAAACTGTAAGTGGGCGCAGTCATCTATAGCACACACTGTATGTATGTTTAGTTTTTTCTCTATTTTGTCTTTTTGAGATAGGGTTTCTCTGTGTAACTCTGGATGTCCTGAAATTTATATTTGTTCTGTAGATCAGGCTAGCCTTGAATGCACAGAGATTCTTCAGTCTCTGCCTCCCAAGTTCTGGGATTTAAGGCCACTGCTCAGCATAGATTTAAGCACCCAGATTGGGCAGCTTATAACCACCTATAACTCCAACACGAATGGCACTGACGCCCTCTTCTGGCCTCTGTCTACTCATGTGCACACACCGACACCCAGACACTTGCCCGTGCACATAATTAAAAAAAAGAACAAATCTTTCACAATTAAAAATATTGCACATAATCAATGCCCAACTAATACAGGTAATATGTGCTATTATCATGAAACCTTAATATTTTGAGGTATGTATCATTAATCCCATTTTGCAAATTGGAAAATTAAGACATGGTTAGATAATTTGTCAATATTTGCCAGTCTAAGATTCTGTGGTTGAAAATGGAAAGTTGTGTAGTGGTGTTTTATTTGGATTTAATTAATAATGTTTGCCTGAAGACCAGAGAGTAGAGCAGCCACATTGGCCATCCTTACAGACCAGAGAGTAGTGACACACACCTTTAATCTCAGTAACCTCCCTAGCTTGCCATAGATACTGGGCAGTAGTGGTACACACCCTTATTCATAGAGGATGGGAGGAGACAGATCTCAGCTCAGTCTCATTCTGAGGTTTTCCTGGAGGCAGAATCACGTTTTCAGGCTGAGGGCAGTAAGTGATGTGGCCGCTGGCTAATCTGTTGGGCCCATGGATGTGTGTCCATCCCACCTTGACTTGTGGTCAGAGAGTTTGAGTTTGTTTTGCTCTTCCAAAGTTGTTGACAACAGGTGTCTACAAAATGGAGAGGTCTTGACCTAGGGTGTGGTCAGTTAGTATTTTGAGTATAGGTGTGTATTTGCTCCATCTGGACCAAAGGGCAGAGATGCTGCGTCTATTCCTCTTATGTCCAAAACAAATCAAAGAAAAGAGTAGCCAATATGTCCTCTTTATTGGGTATTAAATAACAAGCAAAAAACACTCCACCAGAAGGATGACGAATTCTCCCAGATTCAACCAAGCAAATCCCAAAACAAAGTATCTCATTGATTATATGATACTAATACCCATTCAAATGCCAAGGCATCCCTCAATGTACCAAGAAGTCACCCAGGAAACCAGTCCATTGTGTGTCCCCAAGAGGATTTGCTAGTTTAACCATCAATAGGCAGCTGTTCTGTGGCCCCAGGACTGTGTACATGTCACAACAAGCATAGTGTGGCTATGGTGATCCAGACCCCACCTGAGAATAGTGTTGAAGAAGCAGGCTTCTCCAAGCAGCCACTTTGTGAGCAGGTTTCCTCTGCCATTCTGCAGTAATCTCTGGAAGTCCCCTCTCTTTTTTGGTTGAGGCCACTTTCTCAGGAATATTTTAGTGATGGCAAATGTTTATAATGAGATGTTGTATTTGAACTACAGATATAGCCAGATAACTTTTTGAATTCAGATTTCATCTGACTGTTTTCTATCTTGTGCTTTGGGTGGGGCTGCTAGTGACCTGGGTGGTATTTGGGATGGAGTAGAAGCAGAGGAGTTGAATGAGGGTGAAGGACAAAAGATGTTCATGGTGACATGTCAGCGGCAAAGTAACAGAAAGGTCAGTATCAGATTTAGCAAGGAGAAATGACAACGTATCAGTGTGAGAAGGCCTTCAGCATGGGTGATGTCAGCTCCAGCTTCTGAGACTCAAGTGAGTACCAACACCAAGTGATTTCTTTCTTTCTTATTCTGCAGATGTTATCTATGAGACTACAAGCATGACCACAGAAGGTAACATGTTGTATGTGGTATCTCTGTGGTCTTATTGTCCCTATAACATAAGGCTCACCTTTGATCCAGTAGATAGGCAGAAGGAAGGGGATGTGGATCTTAAGCTTCTCAATCAGTGGAAACTTCTCAATCAGGTTTCAAGTTTACAAAGCATTTATGCCATGGATTAAGTCCCTGAATTGCAGTGGGGATCCTCTTGAAAGGGAATCTGCTAGGGGCTCCAAGGTGTTTTTGTTTCTTGGGGTCTGTTGATGATCCTCAGAGCCCTGAGGCCCCCATATTCCACACCGTACATTGGTCAGCCTAGAGAGCTGAGTTTGGCCTTGGTGCCTGGAAAGGAAGACAAAGTCAGCTTAACCTCCACCCTTGTAATATTCTCCCCTCTGGACCATAGAAAGTTCCCTGGGAAGTCCTGATGCTCGACCCTTGACATCACAGATGCTTTTTCCTCTCTGACATCCTCCAGTGAGAGATGTTGGTGGCACACCAGAACAGTTTAGAGCCTGGCAGCCTGGGCTTTGGGAAGGAAAATCACTTCCTTTTCTCCAGGGGGTCTTTTGATCCCAGCTTTTTGATCCTTCCCCGTGGGGTACATGTCCATGTCCTGAGACCTTGCGCATCTCTCTTACATCTGAAGAAGGATAGATTAGTATGTATGAAGATGGACAGAAAATTCTATCAGAGGTCATGAAGCGAATCTGAGACACGATGTTGACCTGTTAGTCTAATGGTGAAGCCTCGACGTGTGTTATGTCCAAGGTCGCCAATGGAGTAGAGTCAGAGGCGCGGACTTTGTTCTTAGCTAAAGTCTCTATGTCATGACACCGCTGGTCTTTGACTATGGAGTTGCTTTACTTCATGGGAAAATGATCATTTGACAAATCATTTCACTTGTTTAAATCCTGTCTCTGGCTCCCCATCAAAGCATCCTAAGTTCAAGTTCCCCATTGGGCTTTGGCAATGGTGTGCGCCTGTGCCTAGTTCTTTCAGGTCCTGGATTAGAGTCTATGTTCATGAGTAAAAAGCAGTGCAGTTCATGAGTAAAAAGCTTCAAGTCCAGCATGGGTCGGGCTGTCCTGGGAGGCCTGTGGAGTCCAGTGTAATAACAGGACCTGCCAGGTACCCCTGACTCACCGGACAGACACTGTCAACACATCCTGACCTTTGGTGGGATCAGACTGTGGGCTCTTATGACCCCATGGGTAGTCTCTTCCTGACTAGCTCTCACCGCTCTGAGGCAGCAGATGAGAACATGCCAGTGTCTGGTCTGCTCTGTGTCATGAACCCAGGGCCAGGCTAGGCACCTTCTGTTCAAAACCTCTGACATGGCTTCTTTTTCTCACAGCGGAGACAACGCCATACCCGACTATTGCTGGTGAGTCCCGCTCTCCCTCAGTGCTTGTGTTTCCCACTGTCCCTGTTCTGATCACCGTTTCAGAAACAGCTACAGCGTGGGTGGGACTCCTCAGCATTCTGTCTCCCCCAGATTTTCCAGCATTCTCCATAAAGTAGCGTGGTAATTTCTGGTGAGCCAAAAGCTTCCCTCCGATTGTCCTGGTGGCATAGCTAAGTTACAGCACTTACTCCATTATGCTAAGCTCTATTATCCTGGGGAAATCATTTGCTACCCCCAATTGGAGGGGCACAAGCGAACATGTCCAAGCCATTACATGCTCTCAGGGAAAGGACTTTCTTTTTCTCAGCCCAGTGCTTCTGTTTTCTACTTGACCCAACTTTGATGCTCAGGCCTTCCTTCTAATTCAGCTTTGTTTTCCTCTCCAGATTGGTTTACTGAAACTCCTCCCATTGGTAAGTGTGTGTGTGTGTGTGTGTGTGTGTGTGTGTGTGTGTGTGTGTGTGTCGGGGAGACCAAAGCATAGCTTTAAACCCTTCAACCAAGAGGTTGGAGAGAGACAGGGATTCTGGCATCTGTGGTGGAGCAAAACTCAGAAGCTCAGGAGAAGGAAAGGAATTAAGAAGAGAGCATATCTTTCCCGTGTGCCTCCCCAGTGATACACTCTGTCCCCCAAATTCATCTCCTGTTTAGTCCATCGCTGAATCAATAACCAGATTTAGTAAGGCCCTCCTGGGGCTTGGGGTTGGACTCATGTGGTCGGACTCATCAGTAGGTCTCCAGGTCTTTAGCATGTGCCCATTGGTGGACAATTCCTATTCCGTTCAGAACACCTTAGCGTTGCAAGAAGACTGGGGTGCTGGACTCTGTGAGTAGAAATAGAAATAGGTATAGAATCCATCCACCATGCTTCCTCCAGAATTTCTCTGTTCTCCAGAGAGATTGAAGCCCATATCAGCAAACACGTACGTATCTGAAATAAGCCCTGGATAGGTGTTAATTATTCCTGGTGATCTCTTTATGTCCAGGGTACAACAATTCTGCACAACTGGTCCAAGAGATCTCATACTGACCATTATCTGCCCACTAGAGAGACATAAGTATAGGGAGACACCTCACAGTGGCTTTGATGGAACTTCCCCAAGACTACCATTCCTGTCCCCCATCCACTAACAAACCTGCACCTACCTCCACAAAGAAAGACACGTCCTCTATATTTTCAGGGTTGGCCAGATTTATGTTACCTCTTATTGGGTTCCTTGGTTGGATATTGTGTCAAACATTCCTCCTCTTGCCAGGCAGCCGTGTGCTGTGATCTGGGGGTTCATCAACATCTCCACTCTTTCCTTACAGTAAACTATACCTGCGGAGGTTTCCTGACCGGGTACTCTGGTATCATTTCTAGTCCATTCTATCCCGGGAATTATCCTAATAACGCCAGATGTGTGTGGAACATTTTGGTCCCAACCAACAACTAAGTGTCTCTAAACTTCATGGATGTGCAGTAAGTGTGGGTACAGAGCAGATGTTAGAGAGAGTGTGGGGTGCCTGTGTATTCATGGGAGTGATAGTCAAGGTGGCTTTTTAAAAAGAGGTTCACTTTTGACTTGGCATGAGAGTAGCCATGGAGGCTTTAACAGGTGTAAAAGTACAAGAAGTTGAAGATACTCTGGTTCAAGTCCCAGTCTTGTTCTTAATTTGCTGCGTGCCCATGGGATGCCACTCTCCTAAGTCCCAGTCCAAAGAAGGGACTAGAACACCTACTTTTCTCATGTCACCAGAGAATGTAGAAATACTTGGAAGTACTACTCTTTGAAAGGGCCAGTTCGGGGCTTAGGTAATGTCATTCTTGGGGATACAACGGGACAGTGTTGCTTCCCGTTGCTTCATCTTGGCGACACCACAACCCATTTTCAGTGGTCACGGAATGCAGTGTTCCTTACTGTAGAAGAGAAGCTTGAAAGTTAGAGAGGTCCAATGATTTATATTTTGATTTTTGTGTTTTGTTTTATATGATTTATGATTTTCTGTGTTTGAGTGATTTATCTGTATGTATGTCTGTGAACTGCGTGCTTGCCTGGTGTCCACAGAGGTCAGAGGAAGGTGTTTAGTTTGTTGGATATGGAATGATAGTTGGTTAAGAACTCCTTTGTATGTGCTGGGAATCAAACCCTGGTCCATTGGAAGAGAACTTAACAATAAATTCAACCACCGAGCTATTTACCCAGGTCCTGCTATTATTTTCCAATTCTTTTATTTATCAGAGATCGTGTCATCCTGAAGATAATTGGTTACACCTTGAAGCAACAAATTATATATTTGTCAGATGACCTTCCTTTGTCTGTATAAAAGACTTTAATGAAGACGTATTATAGATTACGTTCTGACCCCCAAAGGCAGATTGCAGACCAGGCACGCCAGTCCTGGGAAGACAGATGAATTCTCTTTAGGATTTCAGGAAGCCATCTACTCTTTCAGATGATGTATTTTGTCACTGTTATCAGCACAGTGAGTCCCCCACATCTCATTCCAGACACAGAGTAGCTAACGGTCTATTCTGTCTTCTTAGGCTGGAAGGAGGCTGCAGCTTTGACTACATCCTGCTTTTTGATGGCCCTGAATACAATTCTTCTCTCATTGCTCGCGTTTGTGATGGGGCCCGTGGCACTTTCACCTCCACACGGAACTTCATGTCTGTAGTCTTCATCACTGATGGCAGCGTCACCAGGACAGGGTTCCGGGCTAGCTACGTGTCCGTCTATGTCCCTTCCACCAGTGAGTTTCCTTGTGAGAAGGAATGTCCATTTGGGTTTGGTGGTGCCTTCTGCTCCTCAGCTTTCCTGAGTTTGTGACATAGGCAATAGCATGGCCTCCCTGGGTCCTCTGCTTGCTTCCCATGGAGAGGGACTATGTACAGCGGGTCTTGGGGCTCTGACTGACAGAAAGATGGTTGAGGGCCAGCACTGGCTGATGGGAGGAACACTGGCTTCAGTGTCATCGTAAGAAAATGGAAAGGTCTAAGGTGATTCTTCAACAGATAGTTCGAAGTGAGTGTCAGGAGTGGGGTGGCAGCAGGCTTGGAGCTTTGTGAACCTTCCCAAGTGGGGGACACTGCCCATGTTTTGAAACCTAGCACATCTGTCTTCTGTCTGAAGAAGGATAGATTAGGACATATGAAGTTGGACAGAACTTAACCTGTGTCACTAAGCAGTCTTTTTAGGTGCTCTTAGGATCTATCCCGGACAGAGCTTTGTCTTGTCCTTGAATTATGTGCTGGGGACAACTGAGACTTCTTATAGCATCATTTAGGAGAGATTTAAAGCTGTCAGCAGGGTCTGGGCCAGCTTGCTATCCCTGTGATGTGCACCCACAAGCATGGTTGAGGGCATTCCTGGCTCTTTATGGGTTCTTTTCTCCCAGCCACAGTGACTCCCTGGTCCCTGCATTCCATGTCCAGCTACAGTGAGTTTCAGCCTTGATTCCCACTTCCTCACTCTAATGCAGCTTTGTTTTCCTCTGTAGCTTGGTGGACCACAACAACTCCTTACGATGGTACGTATTTTAGATTAAGCTAAAGCGCTAGCCTCCCCAGTGCTCTAACCAACAGGCTGGAGAGAGGGGTGCACATTCTTGGCCTTGCTTGAAATCTGGGGTGGAGCAAAGATGAGAGAGAGAGAGAGAGAGAGAGAGAGAGAGAGAGAGAGAGAGAATACGTAGAAGGAGAGACACTAGGGCTAAGGTCTTTCTAGGGCACACCCCCAGTGACCTGCTCTATTCAACCTGACCCATGACCCAATTACCGAGTCAAGTGATTAATCTATAAATCTGTTCAATGCACTCAGCCTCCAATCACAGGACTGAATTTTTGAGCTTGTTGGTGGGCATTTCCCATCTAAACCATAATGCTATCTCTGCAAGAAGGTTGCAGCCCTGGACTCCATGAATCAGGATAGGTAGACATAGCTGTAGAGCCATGATCCTTGCTCTAGACGTCTCCATTCAACAGAGAGGTCCAGACCCTCATCACTAAATCCAACATCCTTGGGAAAAACCCCGAGATAGGGGCTAAGAACCCCTTTGCAGCCAGAATCCATGAACCCATGCATAGGTCCAAGTGGTCTATTCCCCACCATTGTCTGCCAGGCAGGGAAAGCAAGGGTTTACTATCTTAACCAGTGGACTTCAGTTTCAATGGGAGACTTTGCTCAAAACACACCCAACTACCAATGAATATTACATCACACACACACACACACACACACACACACACACACACACACACACACACGGACAGCCCCCTAGGCTTCAGTGAATATGCCAGAGCTAGGCTATGATTGGGTTTCTCCCTTGGATACTGTGTCAAACATTCCTCCTCCTGCCAGACAGCCGTGTGCTATGTTCTGGGGTCGTCAGCATTTCTACTCTTTCCTTCCAGTCAACTATACCTGTGGAGGTTTCCTGACCCAACCCTTTGGGAACTTTTCCAGTCCATTCTAACCCAGGAACCGTAACAATGCCAGATATGTGTGGAATGCTGACGTCCCAAACAACTACCGTGTGGCTCTGGTCTTCAGAGAGGGATAGAGTCTGTGTTTGTGAATATAAAGCCCTCCAGGCCTGTGCCTCAAGTCTAGTGTGGGTGGGGCTGTCCTGTGAAGCCCGAGTGGTCCAGTGTAAGAACTGGACTTGTCTCCTTACTTCTGACTTTGTTGAGCTAAAAGCTACACCCTCCGCTTGTCTTAGAGACATAACTAAGCCCGTAATCCACTTTGCTAGGCTTCCCTGTTTTGAGAATGTCATTTGCTTTGGAATTCTTTTCCTATGCTATTTGTCTAGAAAGTGCTATGTTTTGCAAGTGTCAAATGGCATGGGATAGCAGAGGCTCTCCCCATCATATGCCTCAGGTATAAATGGCCCGATTCTTTAAGAAGCAGTTGTCATTCAGAAGAAGGTTACAGTTGCCATGGGTCCAGGGCCACCTCCTCCTCTTTTTGATGGACACAACGAGAGCATGGAAAGAGCTCCTTTTCTCTGTCACTGCGCTTCTGTGTGCCATGTTTTCTGCTTGGCCAAGCTTTGTTGCACAGGCCTTCCTTCTAATCCAGCTTTGTTTCCTTCTCTAGATTGGTGGAATACAAGTCCTTCCTATGGTAAGTCCGAGATGAGATCGAAGCAGAGCTTTAAGCTCTTCAGCCAAGGGGTTGGATCAGTAATTCTGGGATCTTCTTGAAGTCTGTGGTGGAGCACAGCTCAGGAAGGATATGAGAAAGAAAATAATTTGGAAGAGGGTACATCTTTCCTAGGACATCCCCAGTGATCCACTATGTTCCCAAAATCCATCTCAGAATCAGTTAAGGGATTTGCTGAGAGCCTTCAGGATCCTATCATGAGGCTGGACCATGAGCAGAAGCTCAGTTCTTTAATAAGTATCCATCAGTTTACACTTCCTCTTCCACTCAAAGCACAGCTGTCATTTAAGTCCTGTGTGTCCCTCTTCCTCTGCTTTGCTGGCAATACCAGACCGTAGTTCCAGAATGGGTTGGATTCTACCGCACTGTTGCTTCCCCAGAACTTTTTGTTCTCTGTAAAGTAGAGAGGCAGTTTCTGAGGAGATTACACCTCCCTCCTGTCTAGCCAGTGGAGTGAGAAAGTTGCAGTACTTTATCTGTGTCACTAAGCAGTCTTTTTAGGTGCTCTTAGGATCTATCCTGGACAGAGCTTTGTCTTGTCCATGAATTGTGTGCTGGGAACAACTGAGACTTCTTACAGCATCATTTAGGAGATATTTAAAGCTGTCAGTGGGGTCTTGGCCAGCTTGCTATCCCTGTGATGGGCATCCACAAGCATGGTTGAGGGCATTCCTGGCTCTCTGTGGGTTCTTTTCTCCCAGCCACAGTGACTCCCTGGTCCCTGCACTCCATGGCCAGCTACAGTGAGTTTCAGCCTTGATTCCCACTTCCTCACTCTAATGCAGCTTTGTTTTCCTCTGTAGCTTGGTGGACCACAACAACTCCTTACGATGGTACGTATTTTAGATTAAGCTAAAGCGCTAGCCTCCCCAGTGCTCTAACCAACAGGCTGGAGAGAGGGGTGCACATTCTTGGCCTTGCTTGAAATCTGGGGTGGAGCAAAGATGAGAGAGAGAGAGAGAGAGAGAGAGAGAGAGAGAGAGAGAATACGTAGAAGGAGAGACACTAGGGCTAAGGTCTTTCTAGGGCACACCCCCAGTGACCTGCTCTATTCAACCTGACCCATGACCCAATTACCGAGTCAAGTGATTAATCTATAAATCTGTTCAATGCACTCAGCCTCCAATCACAGGACTGAATTTTTGAGCTTGTTGGTGGGCATTTCCCATCTAAACCATAATGCTATCTCTGCAAGAAGGTTGCAGCCCTGGACTCCATGAATCAGGATAGGTAGACATAGCTGTAGAGCCATGATCCTTGCTCTAGATGTCTCCATTCATCAGAGAGGTCCAGACCCTCACCAGCAAATCCAAACATCCTTGGAAAAAACCCCGAGATGGGGGCTAAGAACCCCTTTGCATCCAGAGTCCATGAACCCATGCACAGGTTCAAGTGGTCTATTCCCCAACATTGCCTGTCATCAGTGAAAGCAAGGGTTTACTAGCTTAACCAGTGGACTCCAGATTCAATGGGAGACCTTGCCTCAAAACACACCCAACTATCAATGAATATTACATCAAACACAGACACACACACACAAACAGGCCCCTAGGCTTCAGTGCGTGTGCCAGGGCTAGGCTGACTGTGATTGGGGTTTCTCCCTTGGATACTGTGTCAAACATTCCTCCTCCTGCCAGACAGCGTGTGTTGTATTCTGGGGTCATCCGCATTTCTACTCTTTCCTTCCAGTCAACTATACCTGCGGAGGTTTCCTGACCCAACCCTTTGGAAACTTTTCCAGTCCATTCTACCCAGCTAACTATCCTAACAATGCCAGATGTGTGTGGAACATTGAGGTCCCGAACAACTACCGTGTGACTCTGGTCTTCAGAGATGTGCAGTAAGTGTGGGTGCAGAGCAGATGTTAGGGGGAAAAATTTCAGGGAAATGATAGTCAAGATGACATTTAAAATAAGGGCTCTAGTTTTGATATGGAGACCAGGCCATGGAGGATGAAGTGGGAGCAAGCGCACAGGAATTTGAAAACCTTCTGACTTGAAGTTCTGGTGTGACTGTCCTGCATTTACTGCATGGCCATGGGATGCCACTCTCCTAAGCCTCAGCCAGAAGAAGGGTTAGAATGCCTACTTTGCTCATCTTGCTCATCAGGGGGTCACCGGCAAACGTGGGAATGCTGGGAATTGTTTACAGTGGGAGGGAGATTTGTGGCTGGGCAATGCTAGTCTTGGGAGCACAATATACAAGCGCACCTGTTCAGGGCAGCCCTTTACTCATCGACCCTGTCCTTTCTGCGAGTCTCCAGGAGCCAGGGTGCTCGCCTTACCAACGCTTATGTAAAGTTCCGGTCACTCATATACTGACAAACAAAAATGTCCTTGAGCAGAGGAGGTGTCTCCAAAAGCCTAGTAACATACACTTCATCTCGGAGGCAAGTGGCTCAATTGGCCAAAAAAACTGGGACCTGTATTCTCTACCACCCCAGCAACGGGGCCCACTGCTTGGGACTTTTCAGGAATTATTTTTTTCCTACACGGAGACCCATTTGGACCTCCCTTCAGTATGTATAGCGCACTGCTTTCTTCTTAGCAGATGAGAACCTGAGCATTAGGGAGGCTCTCCGTGTTCTTTCTTTCACCAGTCATCTCTGTCCTGCTGCATCCATCGGTAGTTGTTTTATTCTGGAAGGGACCTGAGAGCACTTTGAAGGGACAAATCAAGATGTTCTCTGGTGACCTTTCTCAGGGAGAGGCACTGTAGACCTCATACAAGTGACCTTAGATGGCATTTTGAAGACAAGGCATGGTGGTCTTGGCAGGATGAATTGCCCCTGGGTTTAAGGAAGTCATCTGTTCTTTCAAATAATGACCTTGGCCCATGTTTCCGTGAAGCCTGGGTCCTCATCCAAGTCTGGACAGTAGAGACGTAACTGCTTATTTTGTCTCTTCAGGCTTGAGGGGGGCTGCACCTACGACTACATTGAGATCTTCGACGGCCCCCACCACAGTTCTCCTCTCATCGCTCGCGTTTGTGATGGGGCCCTGGGCTCGTTCACTTCTACATCCAACTTCATGTCAGTGCGCTTCATCAGTGACCACATTATTACCCGGAGAGGGTTACAGGCCGAGTACTACTCAGACTTTGCCAATAACATCACCAGTAAGTTCTCTTGTCATGGCAAAGGCGTGTTGGGACTGGGGACATCCCTGAGAGCCTTCTGCTCCTGCATTGTTCTGGGATTATAACATAGAAAATTATAACGCCCACATTGTGGCCCCTATGGTTGATTTCCTATATTGCCTATTGAGAGAGGCTGTGTGCAGTGAGTCTTGGGACTCTGGATGTACAAAAGAGGATCAAGGGCTAGCACCATTGAGAGTTATGTTGAACTTAGTGTGGTGGCAAAGAATAAGAAGGTAGCTGGGCAGTGGTGGGCGCATGCCTTTAATCCCAGCACTTGGGAGGCAGAGGCAGGTGGATCTCTGTGAGTTTGAGGCCAGCCTGGTCTACAAGAGCTTGTTCCAGGACAGGCTCCAAAGCTACAGAGAAACCCTGTCTCGAAAAAAAAAAAAAAAAAAGAAGGTGTAAGGTGGTGTCCTCAACAGCAAGTGACTCCGTTGTGAACATCTGTCTCACGTGTGGACTCTGTGTGTCAGACATCTCCAACTGTGTACCTTGGAAAAGACCCTTATGAAGGTCATGGGGTTTGGAATCCTGACTCAGGGCACCCTCTGCTCTGTCCTTCAGGTCTCCTCTGTTTGTCAAATCACATGCGAGCCAGTGTGAGCAGGAGCTACCTTCAGTCCCTGGGCTATTCTGCTGGAGAGCTTGTCATTCCTGGTTGGAATTCAAGTTACCAGTGTCGGTCCCAGATAACCCAGAGGCAGGTCATATTCACAATTCCCTACACGGGCTGTGGCACTACCAAACAGGTAAGCCTGGTACCACCCACTCCATTGAACATGTTTTCTCTTTTCAAAAATTCTTTCTCTCTGTGTGTGTGTGTGAGTGTGTGTGTGTTAGCATGCCTTTGTATGCATGTGGAGGTCAAAAGACAACTTATGGGAGCTGGTACTTTTTTTTTTTTTTACCATGTGAGCCCTGGGAATAGAATTAAACCTGTTAGCCTTGGCCACAAATGCTGTTACCCACTGAGCCATCCCACCAGCCCTGAGCGTGATTTATTACAATGTCGTATGTAGTGCATCTAGAACCCTGGGGACCTAGAAGTTATGGCTGTGGTATAATCAGAACATGATTCATGTGAAGGGAGATGGGGCCTATGGTATGGTGGTATGGTAGACACAGCTGCTTCCAGATAGGAGGGATGAGGAGGCCAAAGGGGGAAGCCGAGCATTTCCACAGTGTGGCCAGCAGAGAGAGCATCCAGCAGGACTCCACTCACACACACCCCAGGATGGATTTTGCAGTATCTGGGGCTTCTACAGTTTCTTTGGGGATGGGAGAAAGAAGCAGAAGTCCCCTAAGTCAAAGATGCAAGCACACCTACTTTCCTGAGTTCTACAGCAACAAACACATGGCCATGGCTCTGAGGAGGCCAAGGCACTGCCATGATTCACACTCATTTGATTGCCACAGTTGCCATTTCTGGAGTGGCCAACAGCAGGGGCAGCCAGCCTTGTGACCTTGTACTGCGACAATGTCATCTACAAAATTCATGCTAGGCTACTGCGTGTAGACTTACAGAAGCGTGTACCTCCATCAGTGTTGTGAGAAACGCAGCCCATGGGTCATCATGTGTTGGACATGACTAACAGAGTGGTTACCTGTCTTGAGTTTGCCTGAGACCAGGCAGATTTTAGCACAGACTATTCCATAACTCGGACACCAGTAGTGGACAGACTGGGACCATTGTCACCCTATCAGTGGAAGATGCCGTGATGAGTCTGGGCCACACTCCCCAAATCTTTTTTTATCTTATTATTTTTTTTGAAACAAGTACACCAAGTAGTTCTTTCTGGTTCTGTAGAGCAGACTGGCTTTGAACTCCAAGAGATCTGCCGACCTCTGCTTGTTGAGTGCTGGGATTAAAGAATTGCACCGCCATGCTAAATTCTTAAGTATTATTGTATCACTACCCCACTTTAAAAGTGAGGAGACTAAATTAAGAGAGATCCAGTCCATTGCCCAAGGCCACTTAGTCCCAGATGGGGGCAGGACTGACTTCAGAAGTCACAGATCTAAGAAACATTCTGCTGAGGAACAGGAGCCAGACACAGAAGAGTCTTGTAAAAAAATGAAAAAGAGATATGTATATTACTATTAGAGATGCCCATTCATACTAAATTTAGCAAAAGGGAATGCCTGTGCAATGGGTAAAAGGCCATCGTGGGTGACCTGTTTCTAGGTTGGAGGATGTGACTTTGGAGGCAGGGTAGAGATGCTCAGACCATGGCAAAGGGGTGTGTCTTACTACCGATGAATATACAGGACATGCACGTTCAGATGCCTGTGCATTTTCAGGGTCATGTTCATGCACCAGACCCAGGATAAGCATTTTCCACATGTTAGGCCCTGGGTGTAGTACTAAGGAGGAACTCCTTCTCAGTCCTCCGACACGCAGTCACCCCAGAGAGGAAGCAGATCCTTAGTCTACCAGGTGGGTCTTGGCCACATATGGTTGTGTGTGAGAGCCTGGTCACCCAGATCTCTTGGTAAGACTCTACACCCAAGAGTTCCCTCTGAGAGGAATTTGGTGAGTGAGAAAAGCTCCTTGGGGGAGGAATGCGTATCAACCAGGCCAAGGAGGTGGCTTCTTTGACCCAGTTTTTGTATTTTGCTCTGTAAACTTGCTGCTTGAGAGTCAGCCCACCCAAGGCGACTACTGATCCTTTTTCCAGATGTGGAGTCTGGAGGATCATTTATCTCAGAGCTCACTGGTGGCGCTTCATAGACGGCTATGGGCATCTCAACAGCCTGCCAGCCCTGCCTCTTTTGACTTGAGTGAACCTGGGTAGCACGTGCTGCAATCCGGTTTCTCCTCTTTTGAAACAGCCGCATCACCTGTCCAACTGAATGCTTTAGAGGCAGGGATAGTTTTATTAGTCTTTGCCATCCTTGGTGTCCTGGTACAGAGCCCAAGACTTTATAGTAGCGCCAACAGCTATTACGTATGCCAGGCACCGAACTAAGACTTCTACCGGAGTTTTAAAAGTCCCAGGATGTGATCCTCCACTTACTCACAGGAGATAAAGGCTTAGAGAAGCTGAGCCCCGTGCCCAAGGCTACCTGCTAGTGAACTGTGGAGTCCGTGTGCTCTGTAGCAGGAGTTGTTTGTGACTTGGCCAGCTGGCCACACCTGCTGTTGGCTGGCGTCATGGAATAGATGAACTTTCTCCCAGAAAAAGGCATTCCAGGGCAGCGAGAGCCCAGGTCTCTCTGAGAGCATAGTTGACTCATGTCCAGGACTTTCTGTCACTTTGGCTGCCTTTCCCCCAGGCAGAGGCCTAAGCAAGAGTTTTAATCTAGAGTTAGGATGGCTCCTTCAGAGCAGGAAGTAAGGTCACACTCCGTGTTTGCTATTCAGGGCAGGTTCCGAATGGAGCCTTGTCACAGAGGTGAACATGGACTTTGTGACTACACTCATGTTATACAGAGTTTGAAAGACCCCTCTGGTTTATAACACCATTGGTACCAGAATACAAATGTTTCATCTGGTTAGAGAATTCAGAGGAGAAATACAATGTGCTTCCGCTGACGTCATGAAGAGCATGGAGTCCCTTCTGCAGGTTCTTCCCCAGACCTGGGTCTGGAGAGCAGGCTCTGATGTGCTCTGCCACACAGACTGGCCCTGCCCTAGGCTCTGGCCAGCCTGAGGTGGGAGAGACCAGCTTAGAAAAGATGAGCAGAGGGTCAAAGAGGTTTTCCAAAAGCTCTTATCTCATGGTGATGTTTTCTGAATGGAACACATGCAAAGTAGAGTTCTCAACAATAGACAAGAAGGGGAAGGCTCTCTATTCTGAAAGAAAATCATATTTAAGCTGTAGAAGTACTGGGAATACAGGGGGCTTTTGCAGGGTCCCAATCAGTTAGGATAGAGTTTCACCCTTCACAGTTCACATGACTATAGTGGAAAGCTCGCTTTCTCTGTCTGTCTCTGTCTGTTTGTCTGTCTGTCTGTCTATGTCTACTCTGGCCTGCCATGCCCTGCCTTTTTCCCCACTGTTAAGAGCACAGTTGCTTTAAATTCCTGACACTGTCCGTGTCACCATGGTAGAATTCTCCAGCCCTTATGACATGCCGGGCTCCTGGCACGGGACTGGGAGAAGTGCATCGCAGCACCCAGGCTGTGAAGAGCCCACAGCCCCAGACTGGTGAAGGTGTCCTCGTGCTTTCCTTACTTGGAGCAGGCAGTCACCAACATGGTGCTTCCAGGAATCACTGTTCATGGGTTTCCTCTTGGCCATTAGGTCTTTGCCTTCTTGCCACACCCTCTATTAAAGTACTTCAGGGCCACTGGCTTCATTCCTTTCAGTTGCTCCATAGATCCTTTCAGATGTTATTGCTGCTGTTGCTGTACCAAGGGAACAGAGAGAGACATGTTTAGACATCACCCTTTCCTTAAGATGTTCACAGGCCCCAGGCGTAAGGTTCTTGGCACAGCAGCTCTCAGAGATGGTAGACACATTACATGACACTAGCCAATGGCTTCCTTAAGAGTAACTGCTCAGTGAAAATCACAGTGGTAAATAGCTCTATAGTACAATGAGTTGAAGCGGAATGGCATTATTTAGTTGCTCACCTGAGGTTCTGGGGAAGTCTCATCCTCAGGGATCAAGACCTGCTTCAATTGTAACTGTGGTTCTCATGGCTCCTGGCTTTTACCGTGTCCATCACCACACTGAAGAAGCCACCAGTCACTCAAAACAGAAAGCATTCTACACTGATAATATCAGGCACCTCTCATGAGTATAAAACCAATTGCCCTGAGACCCCAGTGACAGTGAGAATAAACTCAGAACATCCTGCTCTGAGTCCTGAACCACAGAGTCTGAGCTTGGTCAGAGACACTGCAGGTCAAGGGCCACGCAGGCATCCCCATTTTGCCATAAGTACAGATTATCATGGCCTGCGCCACCATGTGCTAGAGAATGAGGGGGTGTGGGGGACGTCTGGCTGGTTAAGCTGACATCCATCCTAGGTATAGGCAGCCACAAGGCAGACAGGTGCCACCTCTGTGTGATGTGTGTGAGAGTCCCTCTGAGCCCTTTCTCTCGCACTCTAACCCAGAGCAGCAGGGACTGACCCTCTCTGCTTCCCTCCGCTAGACTGACAATGAGACCATCAACTACTCCAACTTCCTCAAAGCGGCGGTTTCAAATGGCATCATCAAGAGGAAGAAGGACCTCCACATCCATGTGAGCTGCAAGATGCTTCAGAACACCTGGGTCAACACCGTCTACATCACCAACAACACCGTCGAGATCCAAGAAGTCCAGTACGGCAATTTCGATGTGAACATCTCCTTTTATACATCTTCCTCCTTCCTGTATCCAGTGACCAGCAGCCCATACTACGTGGATCTGGACCAGAACTTGTACCTTCAGGCTGAAATCCTCCATCCTGATTCCTCCCTGGCCTTGTTTGTGGACACCTGTGTGGCTTCACCATACCCTAATGACTTCTCGTCTTTGACATATGATCTCATCCGGAGTGGGTAAGGACTTTTGGATGGGACAGTTGCAAATTTTTGCCTTATAACTCACACACAAGTGGCCAAAAACCACTCAGGGACTACATATTTTTGGCTAGCTGAGTTTGCCAGGGGTTCCAGCTAAGATAGTTTTATACATGTGGCTTTTTGCCTTTTGAGGACCCCTCATGCTGTTTCCCGGGTTACATTTTTGATTAAGAGGACAGGTTATTAGGCACCATGTCCTGTTAGCATGTGGGAAGAGAGGAATGAGTCACCAATGGGCACTCAACTGGATGGCAATTAAACTGGCGTTTATAAACTCTAGTCTTAGGGTTAGAACATGAACATGACACGGGAAACACATTGATTTGAGAGAAGACCCAAACTAAAGTACGCAGATCTCTGCATCAGTTTCTGTACCGCAAGCCAGTGGGAGATGGTGGCAAGGATTAGATGTTGGGAAGGCTAAATGAGAAAGGATGACGGACCCAGAGAGCACCTCATAGCCAGCCGGTGACCTAGAAGGTCACCGCACCAAAGGCCCTCACACTCGCTGTCCGCTAGGAATGCCACTTCTCCATTGTGGATCAGGACATGTTGAGGTTGGCTCAGTGGAGACCAGATTGGTTACACTGAGCTCCTCTACTCCAGCTTCCCTGGAGGAGGCTCTTTGGGGGAGGTATGATGCTTCTGCACTCTTGGAGGAGGTCTGACATGTTGGGTGTGCGAGTCCGGCCCCCACTGTGTAATCTCTGCTGGTGGGCATGGTACTTCTTGGCTTAGAAGCCATTAGTATGGCCCTTGACACCTGAGTAGCCATTGCCTCTGATGGGAAGACATAGTGTCAAGGGAAGGAGGGCTGGTAGTAAGTGGCTGGGCAGTGGTCTTAAACCTCACACCAACCCGAGATGCCAAAGACAGCCTCATGTCCTAGGAACGCTTTGAACATGAATATCAATTCAATAAGCAGAGACTGGGTATCTGCTCGCATAGTCTGTATAATGGGTTCATGTTGGAACTCTCCCCTGGAAACACAGCAAATGCAGGAAGAAACTTACCCAGACCCCTCTTACTCTCCGTAGTAACCAAGCAGTGTCTGAGTGGAGTGGGGCGACTAACATCTAACATGAATGACTCACCTATGACCAAGTAGTCCTTGACTATGGTGACAGTCTGCCATATATGTGGCAATGCCATTTGTGATGACAACTGGGCCTGGAGCATAGTGACTCACTAACTGCACCCTGGTCCTCAACCACATCATCCATGTAGGGGCCCCTAAAAGTAAACTGACCGGTGGACCTGGGCCACTAAGTTCTGGCCTATGCAGTGTTCCCCTGCTCCCACCCAATTCTTTCCAAAGCTCCTTCTCTGCACAAACCTCCAAATACCCTTTCACTTGGAATGTTAATAGGGCTGCAGTACAGAAAAGGATTCTGGGTATTTCAGGGCCATTGAGTTGAAGGGAGAAACAGGAAGGAAGCTCTGGGAGGAAGGAGGAAGAGGGTAAATTGACATAGAACTAATCTTGCGGGGCAGCCAGGCTGCCCTGGGACAGTCCTCCTAAGAAGCATTCTATTCTAAAAGCCAGGCCAGTGTTCCTCGCTTCTCTCTCGCTTATCACTTAAGCTTCACTATTATAGATGCACGTGGGTTGTCCCCTGTAGACAGCCTCATCTTCTTCTCAGTGATATTCCTTAAGTCGATTGGCTGACAGTTTCCTTCACTCGCCAGCAGAGACAAGGTGCCCAAGGGAAGAGGAAGTGCTGGATATAGGAGTTCCAGTCCTAGAGAGAACTGCCAACATGGCTGTGCAGTTGCCCAGGGGCAGGCCAAGCTGTGTGTGTGTGTGTGTGTGTGTGAGAGAGAGAGAGAGAGAGAGAGAGAGAGCTCAGCAGAGAGGCCCTAGGGCCCTAGGAGACAAGGGTCAGGGAGCATGGAAAATGTTCAGCCTACATCTGAATGTCACCGTTTGAAGCCCAGTGACCAGAAAAGGGAGGAAGGGACCATCTCCTTTCCTGATCTGCCTCTGGCTTGCTCTTGGATTCCATACTTGAGCTTCCCTGGTTACCCGACTGTACTGAGCTTGTCACGCCAGATGCTGGGCTGCTAGGACTTATGGGCACCCCTCACAATGAGTGTGTGGTGGCGCTGGAAGCCCAGGTCGCAGGATGACTGCAGAGAACAAGGTCATAAAGGGGAGACCAAGCCTCAGCAGGCTAACCGGTTCCTTTCCTTACTTCCAGATGCGTGAGAGATGAAACTTACCAACTCTACTCCTCACCGACGCCACGCATCGCCCGCTTCAAATTCAGTTCCTTCCACTTCCTGAACCGCTTCCCCTCGGTGTATCTGAAGTGTAAGCTGGTGGTGTGCAGAGCCTATGATTTCTCTTCCCGGTGCCAGAGAGGCTGTGTGGTGAGGTCCAAGAGAGACGCTGGCTCCTACCAAGAAAAGGTGGACGTTGTCCTGGGACCCATCCAGTTGCAATCCCCCAACAAAAATAAGAGGAGCCTGGGTAAGTGGTTACCCTCAGATCTAATCTTCCACTGGGATCCTTGATTCTGGTCAATTTGGGATATTTTTGTCTGTATTATCGGCAGCCTTTCCCCCAAGGCTCATGGTTTCACATAGGTCCTAGGCAAGAGAGTTGTGGTCTGGAGCTCCCAGAATCCTTATCTATAAGGTGAGAAGGCTAATCTCTTCTAAGACTATTAAGAGAGCTTACTAAAACAATGCTCCTTAAATCACCTTGATCCTTGTCTGGTGTAAAGCACTGGGTGTTTGATGAATGTACTACGGTTTTTGCTGTTAACATAATTAACAGGAATATTATTCTTCATTGTTGGCACCGAGAGAGAACAAAAAATGGGGACAGACCTCTGTAGTCTATTAAACCAGAAGCAAACTTTATTTAGAAAAAGAAAAATATTTAAAAAAAATCAACCCGGGGCTCAAAAGCTTACCAGCAGCTGGGACAACAACCAGCGTGCAGGTGGTTTCAAAACCGTGGCAACAGGGGCTGGTGTTGGGCCTCTTTTTAACAGTAAAAACAATCAGGTGTGGGTCAAAGAGCTTTTACAGCCTTGAGGCCAGGCTTAAAGTCACAGTACATTTTAAGTTTTACAACTTTTGGTTATAGGATGTTAACTTAGGGTGTTTGTGAAAGTGGCCTAAACAGCCACTTTTCACTGTCCCTGAAAGAATGCAAGACAGAGGGTAGAGTCACATAGGGGACAGTTAGAACTTGAGGGAATACAAACAGAGTATTGCTCTTAGAGGCAATAGTTAGAAGCTAACCTTTGTCTGCAGGACCTGCCTAGCTGGGAAGCTGGGAGGCTGAAGACAATTGTTAAAGGTTTACCTCTGTGCACAGTGGCTGCCAGGATGGCTGCTCTGAAGGCAGAAAGGAAAGTGTTTGCTAAAGGTTAACAGGTTTTTGTTATTTTTGCTATAACCTTTTGCTAAAGGTTATTTTTCTCTAAAACGTGTTTAGGCTTACAATTTTATATTTCTATATTCTTGGACCCTTTATTTCTATATTCGATTCCTAGACTCTTCACGCATCAGGGAGTAACAGGTGTTTTGAATTCGCCAGCTGGGTGGGGCATGGACATACAGGCAGCATGAACTGATTTTGACTTCCGGCGGGGGGGGGGCAATTTGGCACTAAGTGGGACATTTTACTCCCCATCTAGACAGCGTGGTAGGGTGTGGTTTCTGCTATGCTGTTTGTTGTGGGCATTGACTAGGAGATGCCCATGGTAGGAGTCCTAGGGCTTCTGACCCAGGCTGGCATCAGGTAGGGTGACAGGGGCAGAAATGGATTTATTATATTGTCACAAACCTACCCCTAGATCAGGGCAACACCATCAATCACCCTCTGGGAACCATCTGTGATAGCTTCCTGTCCTCATGCCCCATAGTAGGCTGGTCCCTACAGCAAGCTGACTGTAGACTCTTTCTTCATTCATTAAATACTTACCAAAGGCTTATTGTATGGCAGGAGGCAAAAACAAAAACAAACAAACAAACAAATGAAAAAACAGGTGTGGTCAGAGCAGACCTTGTGCATAGCTAGTGCTTCCATTGGGGTGGAACTTTGTAGAAAAGGAGAGTGAGCAAAGTGAAGAGGCAGGTGGTGCACTGAATCAATGGGGATGTTCTATCGGGAACTCACCAAGGCCAGCTGGCCTGGGTCTGAAAAAAGCCCGGGATAAAACCGGTCTCGCTGGACATAGCAGACAAGGAGGACTACTGAGAACTCAAGAACAATGGCAATGGGTTTTTGATCCTACTGCATGTATTGGCTATGTGGGAGCCTAGGCAGTTTGGATGCTCACACTACTAGACCTGGATGGAGGTGGGTGGTCCTTGGACTTCCCACAGGGCAGGGAACCCTGATTGCTTTTTGGGCTGACGAGGGAGGGGGACTT